AAAAAAAAAAAAAAAAAAAAAAAGGCAGTAGCCTTCTTGTTTTTTATTTTTTATTTTTGACACCGCCTTCTTGTTTTTTATTCAACTGCGGTTTCCTTGCAATTCACATTCAGCAAAATAGAAAAAAAAATTTGTCAAACATATAGATGTTGCGTTTGAGATTAGCTAACTGTGGTTACAAAATGCAAACCTGTAACCAAAAACAGTCTTAATTGAAAGAGAAATTCCTCAATTGACCAAAAAGAGCAGAATACAACCAACTATTCTAACCTGTTGAGATTCCACAGCTCAAAACACAAACTTTGTCAAGTGGTGCACCAGGGTTGATTTTGGCAACACAGCCGACATGGACTACAGTGTATTCACTGAAGGTGGAAGTTCCAACAAAGTGGTATATTGGTTGTCCATTGATTGAAAACCTCGACTTGCCATCATTCAGCATCACTCCACGGTCAGTGTTGATCCTTAGGAGGTCACACATGTTACTTTCCTCTGATTTGCAATGGTTACATTCCTTGCACTCCCCAGTGAAGACCGGAAGCACATGATCACCAGGCTTAAGATCTGTCACACCCTCACCAACACTTTCCACAATTCTGAAAGCAAAGAAGAAAACATAAGACTTATTATTACCTACATTGTACAATTAACATTGAAATCAAGAATCTGTTTCGATAAACTTCTCAAAAAGTAGTTTTAAGAGAGAAAATTAAGAAAAAAAATGAAATACGATTTCTATAAACTAAAATTGCAGAAACTTTCTCTGCTTAACTTTTTTAAAACCTTATTTTTAACTCATGCATCAATTAGTTTTAGTTTATGAAGAAGATTATCATAATTTTTCTTCCTATTTTTTTTTTCTTCTAGAAGTGCTTATGGAGAAACTTATTTAAACTCACTCTAAGAAATAAGTTTTTCAAATGGAAATTGTGCATACCCGCCTGCTTCATGACCAAATATCCTTGGAAATAAAGGTGTCTGTCCCTGCAAAATATTAAATTTGACAATTTCAGCATATGTTCAACTATGGTCTAGAGAACTAGTAGTAATTAGAAACTAGGAACATTGATTACCTTGGCTTCCCAGAAGTAGACATCAGTGTGACATAGTGAGGTGAACAAGATCTTGATACGAACCTCATTTGCCTGTGGTGGAGCCACCTCAACTTCCTCTATCACCAATGGCTTTCCAGCTTCCCATGCAACCGCAGCTGCCGAACATAACATTAAGTCAGCTTACGTATGGTCAAGATTCTAAGTTAAAATCGCATGACTTTTTTTAGTGATGGGATAACCCATTTTAAGTAACTTCTAATATGAGAGCACTACTATACTACTATCTAGCTATAAGAGACTAAAGAAGACTATTTAATCTAAGGTGAATGGTCATCAATCTCATCATCAAAAGTTACATAAAGGTCACATTATGTGAATTATGAAGAAGCAGATAAGGCCAATGCATGCAAATGAAGAAAGTTGATATTTGCATGGCTCAAGCCTATAAAGCGAAGACATAAAAGGGTATAGGCACAAAATCTGGATAAGCAATTGATGGGATACCTTAGTTGGACCCTTTATGCAGTAAAAAGAAAAAGAGCAACAAAAACATAAAGACTAAAACCGATGCAACAGTTACAATTAGCAAATACCTTTGCAGCGTATGACCTTTCCAGCAGTGGTTGAAACCATTTTCTTTGCTTTTGAACACCTTGATTGACTTTTTTATTTGTAATCACTCACACGAACACAAAAGTACTTTTCTCTTTTTGCTGTGAAGAAATGGGTTGGTTCCTGTGGAGTATATATAGTGCAACAATGAAGAAGATTTGTCATGTCCGAGGTTTAAAATTATCAAACTTGTACAAGTAAGAAAAACCATGGAATCCACTGGTTTTGGTTCCCTTCACTAACAACCCAAGCAGCGGCGCCTTCGGTCTTTCTAATTCCTAGTTTCTGGTTTCTGGTGATTGAGCTTTTTGCAACATGTTATATATAATAATAAAGCAAATTGCATATAGCGTACAACTTCCGAAATTTCAATTCTGCAGGCCTCAATTGAAAAAGTCAACCAGGTTGTCATGGGGCCTAACAGAATAACATAAACATTAGATCAAGTTGTACGGCCGAATGTTGTTAACTGAAGTTATAGTTGACTTTTACTATGCGAAAGATACAAAACTAAAGAAAATGTTTATTAGATACAGATAAGACAAAAACACAGATGAACACCCCAAAAAAAAAAAACAAAATCTTTTATCAGTGGGCCAAGACCGGTCCAACACATTGTTATGCCTAAACAAATTTTAAAGTGTGTTTTTTTCAATATTAATAATAATATTTTTTTATTAAAAAATGAAAATATCTTAGAGACAGGCCTTAAAAAAAAAGAATTACATTTTTATATCTTTTAGATATAACCTTTTTAGAGTGAGTTTTTAAGAATACAAAAAATGATTTTTAAATTATGAGCCTTAGAAAAATTATATAAATATTAATATAAAATATCTTTTTAAAGAGAACCTAAAACAAGGACTTTTTTTGCATTATACTTGGATTGACCCTATTAGTTGTAGGTGAAAAAAATGAGGGAAAAAGATAAATACAAACAAAAAGAAAAAAATAAGAATAAAATAAGAATCGCTACAAGAAAAACATAAATTTTAGACTAGAGATAAAATCATAATAATAAATATAAATGAAAAATAATCCTCACCATGTATATAAGTTAATCCTGAACTTTGTGAGACACTATTATAGTAATCCTAACATGCAAAAAATGTCAAATTAATCCTTAGGTTTTCTTTTTGTTACCCATCTTAGTTTTTATTGTCACTCAAATGTTAACATTGTCAGTTAACTTACCAAAATGATAATGAAATACATATTAAAATAGTATTAAAGGATTATCCAAATAATTACAATTATTTTAATTTCTAACATATACACCTTATTAGTGAGACTTGAATCTAGATCCTTTATGTAGTTAAAACAACTTTAACCACTAAATTGCCATGTTCATTTAATCAATAACTTACAAATTTTATTTATATATAATATACGATGCATTAAATATAAATTTTATTCAAATTTCATTAAACCTCTAAAGTTTGAATCTCTTTATATATGATAAGTTGCATTTAAAAAAAAAAATATATCTTGAACTCATACATAATCAAATTATAAATATTAGGGTAATAGTATTTTCACTTTAGTTTATTACACTAATGATATTCAACAATTTTATATTACAAAAGGTAAAAATATATAAAGAAAAATGAAATTTTATTTATTTTATTTTTATTTTCAATTTTTTATTGATAATTATCAATATTTTATTGTATTTAATTTTACGAACCATAATGTTTGAATTGTCAAAGAAATCATAAGAAAATATTTGTTTGATTTTTTTTTTCACAATCTTAAAAATAGGATGATTTCAATTGGAACTTAGAAAGAATAAAAAATTATAATATTTGAGAAGTATAGTTGGTAATTAATTAGGTTTATAAATATTAATATTTTTTTATTTTGATCTATTCTAATATTCACACCATTAAATAATAAATAAATTTATTTAAGTTGAATTAACGTGAGAAAGTTAATAATGAAATAAATATAATATTTTCTAATTAAGATAAAAAAGAAAGTCATGTTTAGAAAAGTAAAATTAGTTTTTTTTAACCTTACCTTTGGGCCTTCATAAACCAAATCAACAAGTAAATTAGAGTAACATTATTGACTTAAAATTCTATTTAAGTATTATAATAATTTTGATAATGGATCAATTGAGTATCTCTAAATGGAATTGTATTCAACCATCCACAACAAGTAAATAACCAAAAACATACAAATGGTTAACAATGTACCATTGTGTACCGACTGAGGGTTGTTTAGGCAAATGTTTTGGACACATCCTACATTTGTGTAGGCCTCAGATGATCAACTCCCATGGGGGATGTGACTTAACATAGAGACCATCACATAGGAGCATATCACCAATTATCTATCATAATTAACCAAAGAATAAGGCAAAGTTAACCGGACAAAATCATCATGTCATTTGAGTGATGGACTGGGATATACCCATTCTTTATTTGTCTTAGTGAAATCAAGGTTCAAAATTCAATGATGACCCATGAAAAATGTTAGAATAGAAATAATTCTTCTGGATCCCACTTAAAAATTATTTCTCACCCTTGATACAAAGAAATGACGAAGAAATTAATGAACGAGTATTCTCTCTCCAGTGATATTAATTTATAATAAACATTATTTTAAATAATATAACTATATTACAATTAATATTTATAATAAATAAATATCATTACATAATTATTTTTTATTTTAAAATTTCAAATTTATAGCTTACTGTCAAATTATTTTAAATTATAATTTATAATTAAATTTTAAATAAATTTTAAGTATTATTTACTCATAATAACAAATATTAATTTTATTCTAATATAATTTCTTTCCTTTCTATCCATTCAAACCATAACTACACAATAATATTTTTCTTTTATTTCTCACATATTTTCTTTAAACCAAACACACTAATCTGTACTTTATTTCTTACTTATTTCTACTCACCTATTTCTCTTTCCTTTAGTTCTTTCCACTTTATTTTTTACCTATTTCTTTCCTCACAACCAAACATAACCTTAATAATTATGATTATACTTAGATCCGTAAAAGAGTGTCTAATAATTGTCAAAACTCTTCAATCTTTATCTTTAGATTGATAATTATATTTGTAAAAGAAATTCTAATATTTAAGTTAATAAATGGTAAAATTGTTTATATATTCTCAAGAATAAACGTATTTTATAAAGGTAAAATATGTAAAAGTATAAATAAAAGAGAAAATGTTACTATTAATCATAAAATATTAAAAAAAAATTCAAAACTTTTAATAAAAGTGGAACATTACTATCTATTAGATTTGATCATGGAGTAATGCATGAGTCCCAGCATGTGGAGGACTATTCGGATTGCAAGATGCAACAAGAAAAATCGCTAATGAGATCCATTTGAGAAACACAAACAACAATCAAAATGACCTACAATAAGAACAACAAGAAGCAACACTGCAATCACTACTAAGATGAGATGATAGAAACTACTCTCAAAAGAAGAAAAGAACGAAACTGTTCTAAAAATTTTCCTACAGGTCTTTAATCTCCTTTAAAAAAAAGAAAAAAAGAAAAAAAGACAAATCAACAAAATCAAATATTTACTGACTCATTGGATGTCCACCGGTACCCTTTGTAATTGCCTTGAAATGTTTAATTCTATAATATAAATCATCACTCCATTTTTAGCAACAAGATACTTTATTCTTACTTCCTATTATTTTCACCACATTTTATTACTAATCCTCAAGTTTATCTTTTAATGAAAATATTATTATATTCCCATAAGCGCCGAACGCAATTCATTTTGAAATATTATTCTTTTGCCGTTGGGCTTTGCTAACAAATAACAAATGGAAAACATAGCCTGTTCATTTGTTGTTGAAAAATATATAAAAATCCAGAGGGAGTGTACTGTACACACTAATCTGGAAACAAACAATTTAAATACATTGGTGTTTGACGTTATTTCATTAGTGAATGTGGTGTGAGGATGTTGCTGAATGCTGATACTGTCGCCCCGAGAATTTGATAATATCAACATCTCAACTCATAATATCTATAATAGTTAACGTGTGTTTTTATCTTAGAATTCGAAAAATAAAATAAAATAGAAAAGGTTAAAGTTAAAATCTCTCAACTAACTTCTTAAAAGTTTTATTTAGTTTTCATCAATTATTTTTTTAAAAGTTTATTTTCTTAAAATCATATTTGACTTAACTTTCTTTTTAAGAAAAGAAGAAATAATCCAAAAGAAACATTACTTAAAGGCGTTACTAACTCTTAAAAAAGACTCGGGCAATTCCCAATATAAACATCTTTAGTAAACAATTAACACACTGCAGTTTTACACCTCATAGATGTGTCATTAACCAATTATTGAATTGATTTTTAACTACTTGTAGTTTTATTTTTATTTTTATCATTTGCTGCAAAATATCTAACAATTTTGTAAATGATTAACTTATAAAAAAAACTTTACTGATTATTTTTAATAAGATTCTTCTCTTAATTATTAACTTTCATTCACAATGTTGAATTTAAGACTTTAATAAAGAAATTTAAGCTTATTTTTACTCACACCAACTACACGGTGATTAACTATTTGCAATTATTTAGTTAATACAATAATTAATTTGAAAAAAAATAATTAGAAAACATTTGAAGTATAAGTATTTTGCACAATGAGACATATTTGCAACACATTCTCTACATAATTGTGATTTTCAAAAAAAAATAAAATTATTTATTATGTATTAAAAGGATATGTTACTAATATTTCTCTTCGTACAATTTTCTAATTATAAATTGTCACATATAATAAAATTATTTACTTTTATAATAGTTATTTTAATAGTCATTTAAGATTATTTTTAATTGACAATATAAAAGTCCTTAATTAAACTCTTTAAAAATAAACGATCACAGAATAATTAAACTCGCATGTTTGGAGTGATAATACAATGCCAAAGAGGAGTGGGTGCAGTACTTTCAGTGAGACGCATCGACTCATTGCAGAGCTGCAGAGGCAAAAGACCCTTGCAGACAGTTACACAAGGCATGGCAAAGAATCAAGAATGCAGACAAGACACTGCTCACAATCCTCAAATAAAAATGAGTAAGATGTGGGGCTAACTGCTATCTGTTGTGCAGAGTTGGTGATGAAAAAAGTGTTAGGACCATGTAGCTGAATGTGGGTCCAAAATGAACAGTTTGCACCTCAACTGCCCAAGTCCATTATGTTACGTAGCACATTATGTGCTAGAAACAATAGGAAGGTTCAGAGTGAGAATGCTGATGTGGCAGGCAGGATGTGAAGGAGTGTGTGACTTGTATGATGGGATTTGTTATATAGAAAATTTGGGAGAAGAGGGAGAGTATCCAATGGAATCAAATGGTTTGTTATAAGCACAGAAATTGGATTCTCTGAAGGAGCTTAGCTCCATGACAGTAGGAATATTCATTCCACTGTAATTCTTGTTTCCAGAAATAACACTGACCTAATTTTCCATAATTAAGTTGTTTTCTTCTTTAATTGTCACTGATATTTTGGTTCGTATCAAAACGCATGAAAAGGAAAGGCGGACAACAATATTAACCCTTCAATTTATCATTAAAGACTACGATCACAGAGTAACAATTATATAGAAACATTTGAGAAAATTGATAAATTTACAATTGTCTCGATAAAGTGTCCATGTGATAAATTACAATATTGGCAATGAATTTCAATTAACAGCTCAGGCTAAACCCTCAGAGCTCCATCTGTGGAAAAAAAAAAAGCTCGTTCACAAAATTGAATGATTATCAAGAACCTTCATCTTGTTCGAAAGTGTATCAATCTTCATATTGATAATATCCATTCCAAGTTGATATTCATGCTGATAAAGAGCTGTTGGCAAAGGGAGGGATAGCATCCTGATGGTGCAGCTTCCCAACGAAAAGGGTGGCATGAAATTTACAATGCAAATTAGATCAGAGGAGAAAAACAAAAGTAATTAGTTTGCCCCATTGTTGCTATTTCTGTGACATAATTGATGTTTGTATTCTTTTCCCAATAGATGTACCTGTCAACGGCAATTAAAGATAAATAAAGCATGCTGTCACATTACTCATCATTATCCCCATTACTCACCACAACCAAAACCAACATTACGATCACCGGAGTTGAATAGTTGAAGATGGAATATGATAAAATAACTACAAACCTGTAGATCAAATTTAGTTCTCTCAAAGAAAATGGCTTGCCATCAAAAGTTGTGGCTTTTCTTTCTCTTCTTCAATCACCCTTGAAGTTTCTTCCTTAATGTTTTCAATTTTTTTATCCCAGATATCATCTACTAGTTTCCAAGTTTCATCACTAACAATTTGCGTCTGCAGTAAAAAGAAGGAAAAATGAAATAGCACAAATCAGTTGTATGACAAATTGCGGCAGCCTATATTAAATAAGGTTTTGACACATACCTCTGTAGGACGAGGTGCACCAAAGGTTGAAAACCCAACATTGCCTGGTGCAAATGTAACCCTTCCAGGGAGACTGATCCCATGGATTCCCCATCGTCCAGCATAAACCAGTGCTCCATATTCATCAACTGGACTGACAGGAGGCTAAACAAGACCCAGGAAAAAAATAGAACCTCCAAAGATTATCATTTATTCAATCAAGAAGGATAATATTAAAAAAAAAAAAAAGGAAAAGGAAAAGTTCTGTGTACAGCCTACCATACTGAAAATATAAGTTTGTAACGCTTAAAAAATACAAAAATGACTTACAAGCACGCATATAACAACGTCAATGACAGACTACTGATAAAACAGGACAACACGCTCCACTTTAGTTTAAGATCTAACCTGAGCTACATGAGGAGCACTCTTATAAATGTCCCATATCTCCTCAGCTTGGATTTTTCCCTTTTCAAGCAAAATATCTGCAAAACAAGTAAGCATGTAGCAATTTAGCTGTGCACCTCTTGATGAAAAATTATCAATAAATGCTAATTTATTGTACAGTTAAACTTAAATCCTAAAAGCATGTCTTAATTATCATGAACTAATCTAAATAATTCCCAGAAGGGATAGTTCATTTGTTAACAAAAAACTCACAAGAGAACCTGACCTGTGATCGTCTCAACTGCTAAATGATATTCTTTTAGCACAGATGAGCACTTCTCAGTAGCATAACGCATATACTCATCTCGAAGCGCTTCAAGCTTCACTGCAAGCTGTAGAAAACTCTTCAACATAAGTTGTGACACAAGTATAACACTTCTCCAAAGGGAAAGAATATGTATTGAAGCACAAGCTGTTAGATCCAACACACATACATTGGGCACAAGATCACTGTAGCTTTTGTAATATGCTTTCCCAAAAGCAGTCATTCCTGTCTGCAGAATTAAAAGCTCTGCACGCCTTGAAGCTTCTAATGTTGCCTTTGCAGAGATCCAACACAAGTTGTCAATCCCAAACATCTCCTCCTCAATCACTCTTGCTACAAATAAATTTCAATAAGCAAAAAAGCTTAATAACCAAAGTAAAAATCTTAAATAATCATATATGTGATTAGCTAAATAAAGTTCTTTGCATTCTTCCGTTAAAGTGTATAAACAATACAAATTTAAGTTTACATCAAAGAACCTTGCCTCTGTCGGTTTTCATGACCAGAAAAATTTATTTTACATTGGAAGTTCACATGTTGAAATCCACTGCTAGGATCTTTTACAAGAAATGAAATGTTTAAAGAACGAAATTTAAATGACGAAAAACTCAAAAATCAAATTACTATCAGATTTCAAATAAGACTTTCCAAAATGACATGAAACTCAAACAACTTACGAGCACAAGCACGCACTATAGAGTTTACATAATCTGATTTCCTTGCAAAAACCTGGCCAGAAACTTCAGTATAACGCATATTTGGCTGGCTGCGGATAGAATTTATATCAGTCTGCAAAAAATAAACACAGTGACACAGTTGAAATAATCATATATCCACATTCCACACACACATGGAACTTGTTAAACAACATTGAGAACAGTGACCTCAACAAAAGGACGGTGAGGCTCGGGAAAATAACATGCAAGAACAGCAACAGCTGCTTCTCTGTATGCCAATCTCAGTTTCAATTCTTCAGGAATTTCAGTACTATCCTCTTGACCTGTTTCAAATGTTCCCTTTTGCTGCAAATCCATAAGATTTATCAGACAGTATAAAATTGCACCAATGATGATCGAAAATGTCATAAGAAATAATATTTTTGCCCAGCCAGAACGATGCTAAGAAACCACCAACCCTTTTTAATGCCTCAAGCAGCTCATCTCGCCCAATGTAGTCCAAATCCTTCCTGGCTGTCAAAATTCCAGCTTCATTCCTGTCATTTAATTCATGCTAACATCAGCCTATAATCATTTGACAGATTGGTAAAGCAAAATCCCCTGGAGATTACTTACAGTATATTTTGTAGCTCAGCCCCAGTAAAATCTTCTGTCTGTTCTGCAATTTCCTTAAGTAGAGTCTCCTTTTCCTCCTCAGAGCGAAAAAATTTATTCCTAGCATGCACCTAGTGTGCATCATAAAAAAATAAAAATAAAAAGAGAAGGGGAATTAAAGATGATGAAATACTGGAGGAAAACAGGATCTCAACAAATAACATTTGTGGGGGTAAAGTAAAATACCTTCAAAATGGCAAATCTTCCATCTTCTGATGGCAAACCAACTCTAATGATTTTGTCAAAACGACCCTTCCTCAATAAAGCAGGATCAAGAATATCCAATCTATTTGTGGCACCTATCACGAGCACCTGAAATTCAAAAACAGTATATCAAATAACATCTTTATGATCCCCAAACCAATTAAAAACTTACCTGTGCTGTAGAAACTTTGAATCCATCCATCTCAGTTAGTATCTGAAGTAAGCCCTGTTCCCTTTCAGCACCTCCCTATATAATGTAATTCCATAGGTTTCATTAGAAAGGACGAGAGAACTAGGAAGCAAGAAAAGAAAAAAGCCATGTCCTAGCCTAAAGAAAATAATGTACAGGTTCTGCAGGGAATGTTTATCAATAATATGCATGACATAAATTCATCAGGATAGCCCTAGACGACCAAGAAAAGGTCTTTAATTTGCATTGGATGAAATTCCAATTTCATTAAGTTGCTAGCTAATAAAATAAATTCGGTACCTTCTAAAACATGTCTACATTCAAAATCCACTGTACTCCAGCCAATATAAATGTCACAAATCTGAATGTGCAAGAATATGTAGTTTTCTTTTCTTTTTACTCATCATGCTGATGATCCCGAGAAGTTGGGGTTTATTACACTGTTAATAAACTGTAAATTTATTGAATAGTATTACTGTATTAGTTGTAACTGAGTCATAGGTTCTTGGTACTTATTAGCTGAACTAAGGAGATGGTTCCTCTTGTAATATATAGTACATAGTATAAATAGTACCTGTGTGGACTGATTAACTCAGGTTTACCTCAAACCCTCTTCTAATTCTACATGGAATCGATGGTTTAATGATTCTTTACAATGTTAATTCACTGTTGGTTTCAATGCTTTATTTCCATAGCATTTTACAACAATCATCATGTGCTCATAACCCAGTCAGGCACGACTGAATGGCATAGCCAAAAGGAAAAATCAACATCTAGTTGAAACAGCTCAAACCTTGCTCTTTCATTTCAAGATACCATTTCTCTGGGGCCATGCCATCCCTACTATATGCAATCTCATCAATTGTATGTCATCATCATCATCCAAAACCAGGTGCCTATGATTCTATTGTCCCCAAAGCAGGACCTCTATTCTCTTCCTCTCTACGTCTTCAGATGCACTTGTTTTGCCCATGTGGTAACTCCAGTAAGAAAAAATTGGTCATGAAATCCCCAGTGTCATTTCTCGGACAATCTCAATTGCAAAATGGCTACAAGTGCTACTATCAAGACCTCCTATATATATTGGATTTGCTATTATTAGCTTTTCTGAGACTTATCCTTTCTTCTCATGTACATCAGATATACATCATGACAATGATATTATGCTCTTGGTTGGTCACTCTTACTTTCAAATTAGTGCCACACTTGTCTCAACTCCTGTGCTGTTCACATTCATTTCACTGGAAACTACATCCACAACACTTGGTACCATCCATAAACCAAGCTGATCAAGTAATCATCCCTACTACTTCTGTGTAAAGTACATGGTCTTTTTAAAAGGGCATCCATTACAAGGGATTTGATACATTTATGTCTTTTATTCCTTCTAGTATGCTTTTTCTTCTTTTATTTTAACAAATATTCTATTCTTCTTTCCATTTGTATTCTCATTCTCTTTCCATTTGCATTCTCCTTCTCTGTCTTAATAAATTTCTTCTTTTGTCCAAAAAGATAAGCCTCAGGAAAATTGATAATATCTTATCGGCCATTAGAACTTCAACAATTTTAAGTTAATTCAAGCATTAATGTTAAAACAGAAACATAAAAGCTAAAGTAGTTTGCTTATTTTCCATAACTTTATAGATTTCGGAGTACAAAAAGCAGTGCAAAAGTAGTTCATATCTTACTCCGCCAATATCAGGTCCTCCACGCTTGCTACCAATAGCATCTATCTCATCTATAAAGATTATAGAAGGCGAAAATGATCTTGCATTTCCAAAAAGGTCTTTAACACGGGCTGCAGCAACCCCTACAAACATCTGGGGAGAAATGACAGATTAAATTAGCTAATTCCATTTAAATTTAAAGTTCCAAATTAATCAAGTAAAAACAAAAAATACAACAATCCTTATAAATGCAACATTGCACATTTCATGGGTACATGTCATTGTACATTCCATTCATTTAGACAAAAAGAATATTGTTGAAGCACATGGTGTAGATACAAATAGTTAGTACACTAATTAGTGACATTTATATCATTATCTGTGTGTACCTGTTTATTGATTGAAAGAGGAATAATGTAGATCCCATATTAATGATATGTTAAGGTCTCCTTTTAACCATGTTAAATTTTAGAATAAACACATTATGGTCTTCTAAAGACACAAGTGTCATTAATTTGGTCCTTAATAATAAATACATCAAAACAGACTTTTAATATCAATTTCTGCTACAGTCCAATTTGAAGGACCAATTTGATATAAAAATAGACAAGTAATGACCATTTTAACATATTATTATTAAAGAACCAAAACAAAAACATTGGCTTTTTGGAGGACTAAAATTAGTGTTTAATCTAAATTCTTATCTACAAGCCCATTCTTTGAAAAATTTAATGACTTTGGATTTAGATATTGAACAAAAAAATATTCCAAAATTCCAATTCTTTAAAACTTCTGTTCAATGCATATGAATTATGAACATGTTTGGAGAAGTGGCAGAACCTCTACAAAATCCGTGCCATTAGCTGCAAAAAAAGGCAACCCTGCTTCACCTGCAATGGCTTTAGCCAGTAGAGTTTTACCAGTTCCAGGAGGCCCATGAAGAAGTACCCCTTTTGGACAATAAATTCCTTTGTCTTGAAACTCCTCATCATTCTTTAAAATTCGGACAATCTCTTGTAGTTCTTTCTTTATATATTCCTGGCCAGCAAAATCATCAAATGTAACACCAGTTCTTTCTTCTGCTGATATAAATTTAGCCCTGAGGGGAAAGCATAATAATTAGATTCTGGGTGTAAAGAGATTGGTTGCCAAAATCTTTTTCTTTTCTTTTTATTTGAAGAAAGTGCACTTAAAAATTTCTACAATATTACTTAATCCATCGTCATGAACCATTCACCACAAAACCACATTTCTTATAATGTATAAGGTTTGCAAAACTATACGTGCACACACACACATATATATATATATATATAAGGGAGAGATCTACTTATTTCAAAGAGTAACTCTTAGTAGCGTTACTTTATTCAATAACTCATGGTTTATAATATATTAAATTTCAATGATCAAAGCATTAAATTAAAATTTCTCAATAAATAGATCAAGTCTACAATTTTTTGCAAAATTTGAAAACTATACAATACTTCGTCACATAAATTCAAATTAACATATATGTTTTTAAATATCATAAAGATGAAGCAAAGGCCCAAAACACAACAATATCAGCTACAGCAGTGTTCCATATATCCAGTGAAAAAGAAATAATAAACAAAAATGGTTAGACAAATCCAAGCTGGGGAGGCACAAGTTTTTGCCTCTATGTTTCCCATACAATATCTAAAAGAGATTTGGCAAGGAAAAATTCAATCCTTGAAAGTTTAATTGAAAAGTAGATCTTCTCTAAATAATTTATGCAATACAGTAGAACTAAAGCTGAGCTACATGTTTCCAGTCAAGCAGTTTCAAAGTATTTTGGATGTAAACAGTAAGTAGCTATGTTTTGCAGACTAATTCAAACATGGATATGATTTATGGAACAAACATAAAGTTGTAGATAATTTTCTGACAGCAACAGTAAGTAGCCTAGCTCCTCTTTAGCTACGAAAACTTAAAAGGCAAAGGGAATTGATGATAGATTCTACTAGAATTTCAATTTTTGAAAAAAAAGAAGGAAAATATGTGAATATCATATTTTCCTTCCCCACAATTTGATTCTAAATCTCTAATAACAAACTCCCTAACCCAAAAGCATTAGCTGACTGAATAAGGCCAAAGAATGAGGAATATTCTCTAGCAAATCTTAATTATAAGTTGAATGACATGTATCAACCAGCTAAAACTCATAATAAATGGCATAAATGAAATTCCCAACAACTCACAGCAAATATATGGAAAAATTCTCCACTTACCGACTCTGGCCTAGAGATCCAAGTGAACGACTTTTGAGCGGCTGCCTAGTTTGTTGGGTAGGAGTTCCCAAATCACAAGGTATCAACTTCGCATATATTGGTCTCATTAAATTATCAATCCACACATAAAAACCAACAGCCAGAGCAAGACGCATAGACCATATGACTGCAGTTGCAACAGTTGAGTATATTTCAGCAGGTACGGCATCCACATTAATGACATCAACATTTACAATTTGTTGATGTAGCTTTCTCCAAACATCATTCCAACAGTCAATTGGCATTCGATTAACTGGATGACGCCGAAAAATAATATCCTTAGGATTGCCTGCAGTTCCTGATGGTTTACCATTTTTGTAATATGGTAGAATAACTGCAGAAACATGGAAACGAATATTGAGCAAAACAACATTTCAAACACACTGACCATTTTACGTAGTTGAGCTGAAATCAATAGCATGGACCACAGTGAGAATACAATTTTTTTGTGAATTGCTGTCTAAGGAGAACATATTGTAAAATGGATAAAATGCCAAATAGCACATGCTTTCAGAAGTATACATTGCCCATCATGAAATTTATGTAACCATCAAACCCTCACAAAACAGTTTTATTAGTCTAAATAAATGAGACAAATGCTCTACAACAGTGAACCAACTCAATCTGTCAAAACTGTCACTAGAGCATTACAACAGTCAACAAAGAATTACATTCTCTCTTTCTCCTCCTCAAAACAAATACATTGCCACCAGAGCATTACTTTTACCCAGTTCTTGCCACTGCAGACACCAAAAGAAAAGTGCACATCAAGGAACAACTGATATTATTATGCCATTCTGGGGTTTATTTTGCTGACACCTCCTTTTCTACTTTTTTTTTTTTTTATAGGTGTAGAAATGGCAAAATCATATCCCCTCATCTTCATTACTTAATTCACAATAGATAGAGCTAGATTTTCTCAGCAGACAACGATGCATCATGCCCAAAAATGACAATAAACATAAAGTTAATTTCATCAACCAACTAACATGTGCAACCCAACATTAAGAACTTCACATAACGCAACAAAGCAAACTCAGAAGAGACAATAATGCAAAAATAATATAAACCGGAGTCTTCTCTATTCTCTTTCAGCTAAACTTCTAAAGTAAGCACCACATAATCCTCATTAACTATCATAAGATCCTCCTATAATATATCCGCATCAGCAAGCCAATAATCAACTAAATCCCACTAAACATCTTCCTAACAACTAGCCATCTAGTTTTGTTTCAAGCATAACATAGGCTCTGTTTGGATACACCTCTTCATAAACACTTATCAGAGAAGAAAATAAGAAGGTAAAATAAATTGAACTTCTCTCATAAGTTAAAATCAACTCATGCACTTAATTTTTATAAATGCTCTTTTATCTTAGTAAGTTTTCCAAAAGCCAAAGTATATAAAGTGATTTTTACTATTGAAAAAAAGTTTAATTCATTTTATCTTCTTATATTCTTCCCTTACCAGACCTTCTTTTTTTTTTGGTTCATCGAAATTTCAATGACTGCACCAGTAACTGAACTTAAGACCTTGTACATACTACTGCAATCTCCCACCAATAGACTGAACCCACTGGTTTTCCCTTAGGAGACCTTATAGATTAAGTTTATCCAAACATAACTATAGTCCATAAAGAAAAATCCCCACCTGATATTGTTTGACCGTAATTAGAGTACTCCATGAACTGGACATTATTGGAGTCAAGAAGCCTCACAAAATCACTGAAGTCTATCCTGTGTGAATTTTCAGGATCCCACTCAGTTCCCTTCAGCTTTCCACGCAAAGTCAACAAAGCTCTGCTCCATGAAGAAGCCATCACAAGCTGCCTCTCTAACTGCACGTTCGCCTTCTTGTCAAACTCTTCCAACTCACTCATCCGTTTCCTTTCAACCTCCTTCAGTTTCTGCACACAGTTCACTCTTCTCATCAACTCATGCGTGGAAAACAAACATTGCATTGCGCCAACGAAAAATACGCTACCAATTACCAAACAAAATATACTGAATTATCGGTTTCTAGAATATCATTAGATTATTCTCTTTTCCTTCATTTATTTACTTTTTTGACGAACCTCGAATAGTTGAACGGATTCGGCGTCTTGTTGTTGGTCTGGGCTGGGAGTGGTTGAGTCCGAAAGAGAATTGGAAGCTACGATTCTGAGTTTGCATCGGTTTTTGAAGTTGCGAGGGGGGAATGTGTACGTAGTGGTGAGAAAGCGAGGTGAAGAGTGGGGAAATTGGGGGAAAGAGGTTTTGGGAGGGAATAAGGGTTTTGGGATGGTGTTTGCGATTTGAGAATTCATGATGATAAAGAACAGAGAAAGAGTTTCAAGTTTTGGCTACGCTCGTCTCATCTCTTCTGTTTAGTAAACACTAAACAGTGTCCCAATAGCAGTGTGGTTAATGTTTATCACCTTCCTTTCTTGCATTTCAAGTTCATGTTGGGGGTTTAAGGAAAGAGAATAGTATTGATATTATTATCCTTTTTTCTACTTGTTTTTAGCATAAATAAATAAATTTAATTTGTCTAATAAATAACCTGGGAGAAAAATCTTATTTGATTGAAAAAAAATATAAAGAAACACAGTTAAAAGTATAAATGAAATTTTCAATTTTTTTCTTTTTGATTTTTATTTAAAAAATGTTAATTTCAGTTTTTATCTCATTCAAAATAAGTGTTTCTTTATAAATATGATGATATATATTTTAATGATGATTTTTTTTACGATAAAAAATTTACAATCTGAATATAAGATAATTATGTTATATTTAGATATAAGAGTTACTCAATATAACTTTAATGGTACGTTTGGTGAGAGAAAAACAATTAGAATGAGTGGAAATAGGGCATAGAAAAATATGATGAATGGAAATGGTGATATATAAAGGAAATTATTTTTTTAGAACATTTAGTTTAAGAGAATTAAAAAATGGGAAAGAATAAACAATTGAAGATGATTTTTTTTTTTGAAAATCGTTTCTGTCTAACAATTTAATAATTGGCAAAGAAAAAATAAAAAAATGTAGGATTCTAGCTTCTACAAAATGTGTCTCATAAGGATGAAAATTGTTAGTCCTATTTCATTCAAAAAGATAAATATTGAACTAAATACAAGTTTAATTGGTCAATTTAGTAGTAGAGAATTAAAATAATATGTATAAAATTTTAAGTTTGAATCATATTATTATTTTTATTATTTATATTTTTATGATAAAAAACACATTTACTCTCTTGTTATCTCAATCTTTCACCTTGATTTAATATTTGAATGCACTTAAGTAACTAGTCTCAATTTCTTGATAATAAATCCTATTATTATTAATAAGAGTTCTAATTTCTTAAATGATCTCACTAAGCACTCATACATTAAGTTCAAGATTCTCAAGAATACACAAAATTCATTAAAGTTTCATATCTATTCAGAGTGTAACTCCATTGAAGAATTCTAAGAACTCAAAAAATTATCTCTCACTAAGACACAAGAACAAAGAATTTTAAAAAAAAAATTGTTAAAATTCATACAAAATCTTCACAAAAAAAAAAAAAAAATGGTCTCAAAGCACATTTATAAGTTGAAAGATTCAAGTCATTCTTCAACATTGAGATTCCATCACTAGGTACAAACATATTTGAAAACCTCTCACTAGATGTTCATTTCATTATTGTACGTTTTTATAATTTAAAATGATTATGATAATTCTGTCAATTAGAAGTAATTATCAATTCCTCGTTAAGTATAAAAACACGAGATGTCTTATAATTTGGCGATGAGCTTGTGGCTTAGAAATTAAAGTATTTTCTCTATTTTTCTTCTTTTTTTTATCCATTTTGTAAGTATTTAAACAAAATGTAATTTCTAGCTATAATTAATACTTATAATACTTACTAAGTTATGCTAATTCTAATATTTGTGTGATATTGTTATTATTTTATTATCTGTTTTTAATTCCCTAGTTGGTTGACATCATGCAATAGTTGGGAAACCAAAATCAAGTAGCAATTTAATTAGAAACAAAGATAACATGTTTCAGCATGAATTTATCTCCAATAGTAATTATTCTCCCATTTGTTGCAAAAGTCTTTATGCCATTAGGGTGGGGCTCAATATCTCTATTTTTTGTCATGCATATACAGCAGACAAGGGTGCTAGTCATGTGGTAAGAAACACTTGTGTTGATAACCCATGGATTTTTACCAGTTTATCCACCACTTGTCCTAATTTTATGTGTGCAAATAGTATTCAAGAGAGTGCTCTAGTGTTTTGGATTCAACCCTAGTAATGTCCTATTAGCTCATCGTCGTCTTTTACATCATTCAATTTCGCTTCTATAAAGTGTTTACGCGATGTTTGTCTTTGCTCCATTTCCTCCTCCCTTACCTGAGCCACCTGGTTGATGATGCATAACCTTGCCACGTCTAGAACCATGACCTTTAGTTCTCACCCCCACCAATATAGGTAATCTACCCGTTGAAAACAAGAGTTAACATCGTGCCCGAGTCATTTACAAATTACAATGCATGAAAGGTCCTCTATCAACTACCAACATGTCATTGGCAGAGTAAAACTAAACTAAAATCCTTTATACAATACTTCAAAGTGAAATCATGATACTAGTGCTCAGAATGGAAAAGTTCAGAAGAAAAATTTTCATTCAGTCATGTTTACGGTAGAGATTAATTCAGAAAAATTGAAACATATTTTGACCTAATAATAACAAAGTAACTCATTTTTGAATGATATAAATAAAATCATTCTCGCCTCTTTTTATATCCTCGGCCTTACCTAGATACTAGTGTTCATAGTGAAATCATGATAAAATAAAATATATTATATCTATGAATTAAAATATAATGTCGTCGTACAAATCATGAACAATCTAACAATAAAGAAGTAATTCGTTTCTATTGTTTTATGAAGTAAGAAATGCTAAATAAAGAGAATTGTTGGCTAAGCTGCCAACACCATGTGTTTGTGATCAAGGGTATAGCTATAGGGCACAGACAAACCAAGATCGCCGGAAACGGCTAATTAGAATTACAGTTTATAAAACCCAATTTACATATTAACCGGTCCCTCCAAAAATTCTAGATTGAAACTGCAGTTTGTTTTGTCGTCATGTTATTTCCAGTTTGCTTCTAGAACCACATATACACTCAGGATATGGATTTTCATAGAAGGACTCTTCAGTCCTAAATCGTGCTCGGCCTTTAATTCCTGGTAGGGAACCGTGCCTTTTCCTTGGAGCTCCTTGCCTACGTATAATCATGAAAAATAAGTAAATTCTTCGATTTTGATAACTGGGAAAATGAAGTCAACCAAGGGGAAAAAACACGTATGCAGATTACATGGAAAGAATAATTACATATTAAAGGGAAAAATAGGTAATAGACTTCAATATAAGAAAAATGTAGTTTGTAACCAGTTTTAACTTCTAACCATCATGTCATCCGATAATTAGAAAATAAGGTCACTATCAGGAACCTAAGCGAGCGGAATCTAATGAAGGGCCTACCTGCATAAACATAAATTAAGGTTATGCAAGAAAGTAACCTGTTCTTGTGCATTCGCTGCACCATATGTGACAGTTCCTTTCCTTCTTCTAGCTCTCCAGTTCCCAACATATCAAAAATTCCAACAAGTCCTTTCCTGAAGATCAAATGAATAAGTAAAAGGGAGAGAGAGAGAGAGACAGAGAGATAATGAGGAACCAAAATTGGAAAAAGGTATTTTCTCTTGGTCATCCAGTATGTAAATTATCAGAAATTCAAGTATTTCTCTACAGAAACAAGTGAAATCCAGAATGAAACAGTAGATCATTCAAACTTTCAAGGCATATTAAACACCGTCATCGCATCTCGTTAGCATGGTGCACCAGTATGATACATATGAAAACATATTAAAAGATAATGGAAGAAACAGACACAACAATAACCACACCTTTTCTCACCATGTGGGATTAGCTACATGAATCAAATGACGCCATAATGTCTCTTGTGAATCATGTCTATGGATAATCATGAACCTTTAAATCCATCTTAGTGGTTTTTTCTTATATTTTTTGCTGTCTCTTTATTGATAGGATAACGTCCATCAGATCTACTGTATTTAGTTGAGCTTTCTACAGGTCTTCTTTACACATGCCTAAAGCTGAGATTCTATCATTTTTTTTATAATAAATACTACGCTGTTACTACCCAAATTGCTCTCCAATACATTCTCATTCCTAATCCCATTTTTTCTAGTATGCCCACTCATCAAATACAACATTCTCAACTATACTTCACCTCTACATGTAGAACCAATAATATTTATAGATTCAGCATTGAATCAACATAACTGGAAGGAAAGGAAAGGGAATGAAGGACCCCTATCAACTTTTATCACAATTCAAGTCGATAAGAAAACTTGAGGAAAAGCTAAATACAATTCTGGGACGATATTTTTCTCCTTTTTTGGATTAGTGATACAGTGATACTTAAATACAAAACATTGAAAGAAAAATTACACAACATTTTGGCAAGCATGGGAAATAGAAGAAAAGAAAGAAAACAAGACTAAATACCTAGAGGTGCTTCAAACGTATCAACAGCCCAGAAAAAAACTACTACTACTACAACTTCTTGAATTCAATACCTGTCTGGGTTGATTGTCTTGCGGTGACCTAAGAATCTGCGGTGTCCCTCAACTGCTCTTGCCATATTTCCTGAATATGACGGAACAAATACATCACTCTCTACACAGATTATGTAATCAAGTGCAGCAGTTTGAGATGCATGATTGGCGAAAGCTTTCAGCTCTTCAGGAGTTGCAAGGGATTCCTGTTATCATTTACCAATCAATTAATCAGGCTGTCATTGCACCTCACTAACAGATTATGCACTATTGGACTACTTGTTGACGCAGTTAGGCAAATAAAATGATTACAAACCTTAAAGATTAGATTAGGGAAGCGGGATGAGAGCTCTGAAAGATGAGCATTACCACCATAGATCTCTCCTGCTGCAATGTATATTGGTGTTGAAGGGGGATAGCCAAGAGCATGAAGAAAAATGCCCACCTCCTTTGGAGTCAGCGGACAAAATCCTCCAATTCTCTGTTCTGTTGAATTTATCTTTTTAACTTTCCAATAATTTGTGTTCTCCCTAGAAGAATTGGAACATTTTTTTAAGAGGATCAGTAAACTGATTAAATACTTATAGACACACTCATATATATATATATTATATATATATTATCTCTTTCAAACACATGGTAGCAGATACAGAATAAATATCCCCCCTCACCTCAAAATTCTAAGCTCTTCAGATTCAGCATCTGTCAGACCATATGCACAACCAGTAAAAGACAGCATATCTTTCTCATATCTCAGATGGAGAGCAATATATCTTCCTCCGCGTGATCTCAGACGATCCACCAACCTCTGTTTTGTAACCGTCATGTATGCTCAGAACCTAATTTAACAGGAAGCCCCATGTAGACATTCTTAAATGCATCAAAAGTGAAAAGGGCATCTCAAACCTGGGATCATATGCATCATTTTCTAGCATGATGTACAGAAATATTGGACTCAAAACTTTCAAGGTTTTCAACCTAACAACTTTGCAACATTCAAAATATTTTAAAAATTCAAGTTTATACTCTAATACTTCTAATACTATATCATAAAAGTGTCTATTGATATAAAAAATTTCCCACAAAATCTTAAAAACTAATATTTAATTTTTCATGCCTGTGTGCCATCAAGCAAATCCTCTTAAATCAAAACTTACCTATTTGTCCACTATTTCCCACAAATATGAAAATAACTTATTTTAGACATGAAAGCAATAATAGACCGGATCCTATCTCTCTCTTTCACCTTTTAAAGTCCAACCTATTGCCTTTATTTAGATTTTTTAGTTATTTAGGCACAAATTGAAAGGAAAATTCACATTCCATTTCAATTTGTATCCTTTCACATGCGTTTTCTTTCTCTTTTTTTTTTCCCTTTTTTTGCATTCTCTCTAAATTTCTTCATTAAGTATGCCACAATTTATTTGGTATTATAATTTAATAAAGAAAAAAATCACATGGAAATTGAAACAGTTATTGCCTCTTTAATCTCCAGTCCATTATTTTATCAGTTCCTAAATCATGATATGCTGTACACATAATATTTTTACTAGATTTAGGATGCTGGAAATTGCACCACCAAAAAAAAAAAGTCAAACCTTTCCTAAATTCTCTATAGGAGGAGAAAATCGAAGTGCATGATACATAGCACGGCATCTCAATCTCTGTATGTCCAGAGGAAGATCGTTGTTTGCAAGTCGAGAATCTGATTTTGCAACATGTATCACCTGGAAGTCCAAAACATTATTTGTTCAATACATTGACTATGAAATAAGATCCATAGCCAAAAAGTGAATTTTATTGATCATACAAACACAATGACAAATATGAAAATCACTTGCTGAGCATGAACCTATATTAGAAATCCCCTTCACTGAGAACTGAGAAGAGTTATTGAGTTTTTACACTCCCCCCACAAGTGAGCAATCAAAAACTTGTCAGCAG